TCCTCCTCTTGTTCCTCCCCCTGTCGCTTCTTCCATTCGACTGACTGTGCCCCGGTCGCCCGCATGCACGCGCCCATCCCCTTGCCATCATTTCTCCCCCCCCCGCCCCCTGTGCTGCATAGTGCCCTGCCACTCGCGACGAGATCGCCGACCTGCGTGCTGCCGGCGACTGGGCCAAGCTGGACCAGCTTCTCACCACCCGGGTGTCCTTCGGCACGGCCGGGCTCCGGGCGTCCGTCGGCGCTGGCTTCTCGCGCCTCAACGACCTGGTCATCATCCAGACCACCCAGGGCTACCTGCGCTACCTGTCCAAGATCCATGGGCCGCAGATTCTCCGCGACATGGGTGTCGTCATTGGCCACGACCACCGCCATGGGTCGCTGTCGTTCGCCCACCTGTCGGCCGGTGTCTTCCTCCGCGAGAACATCCCGGTCCACCTCTTCCGCACCGTTGTTCACACGCCGATGGTGGTATGTGGTCGGTGTTTGATAGCGAGCCTCGTCCTGTGCCCAGCCTGCTGACACTACACCCATGAACACAAACATCCTCCCCGCCCCCGCCCCCCCCCCCCCCCCCCCCCGATGGCCACGAAGCCCTTCGCCGTGCGCCACCTCGGCGCCGCGGCCGGCATCATGATCACCGCCTCGCACAACCCGAAGCAGGACAACGGCTACAAGGTGTACTCCAGCATCGGCACCCAGATCGTCGCCCCGGCCGATGAGAAGATCACCGAGTTCATCCTGTCCGACCTGCGTCCCCGGCACTGGGACTCGGACATTTGGCGCACGTCGCTCCTGTGCCACGACCCGGGCCACCTGATCGACGCGTACATGGACAACTTGGTGCGCTGCTCGCACCTGCGCCGGCGCGGCTCGCTCGAGCTGCCGTACGAGCCGATGCCCACGTCCGAGGCTCGGATCGTGTACACCGCCCTGCATGGCGTCGGCCAGCGCTACCTGGACATGGCCTTTGAGCGGACCCTCCTGCCGGCGGTCATTTCCGTGGCCGAGCAGGCCCAGCCGAACCCGGACTTCCCCACCGTGCAGTACCCCAACCCCGAGGAGGGCAAGGGCACCCTGCAGATGGCCATCGACCTGGCCAACTCCACCGGGGCCGATGTCATCCTGGCCAATGACCCGGACGCCGATCGCCTGGGCGTGGCGGTCCGCCTGCCGGCCGGGCCGGAGAATGCGGCCGTCGCTGCGGCGGTTGCCGCGGCCGGCGACGCTCCGGCCGCCCCCGGCGCCTGGCGCCTGCTCACCGGCAATGAGATCGGCCTCCTGCTGGCGGCTCATCTGTACGCCACGCGCACCTTCCACCAGGAGCCGGTGGCCATGCTGACGACAGCCGTGTCTTCGGGCATCCTGCACAAGGTTGCCCTGCATCATGGGTTCCTGTCAGAGGTGCGCACTTCCCCCAAGTGCCGGGCGTGCCTGAGCTTGTGGCTGCTATTGCCGCTGATGTTTCCTTCTCTTCTTCGCCCTCTTTGTCCTCTTCGCCCTCTTTGTCCTCTTCGCCCTCTTTGTCTTCTTCGCCCTCTTTGTCTTCTTCGCCCTCTTTGTCTTCTTTGTCTTCTCCTTCTCCCCCCTCTCCCCCCTCCCCCTTCTTCCCGTTCTCCCTTCCCCTCCCTCTTTTCATCCACTGACCCACACCCCTTTGCCTCGGCTTGCAGACCACTCTCACCGGCTTCAAGTGGCTCGGCAACCGCACCATCGAGCTCAAGGCCAGCGGCTACCATGTGCTCTTCGCCTATGAGGAGGCCATCGGCTACATGGTGGACGCCAATCTCCCGGAGAAGGACGGCATCAGCGCGGCGGTTGTCTTTGCCGAGCTGGTGCACCAGCTCTACGCCTCTGGCAAGACCCTCCTGTCGGAGCTCCGCCGCCTGGAGTCCCTCTACGGTGTGGTGGTCAACCGCAACAGCTACCTCTTCAGCCCCTCTCCGGCCACCACCAAGAGCATTTTCGAGGAGATCCGCCGCCTCGGCGACTACGTCACCACCGAGTCCGACCTGGAGGAGGCGTTCGTACGTGCTGCTCTGCCACGCGCCTGCACCTCCCCCCCTCCCCCCCCCCCCTCGCTGTACCAGCTCGTCGTCCTTGCCGCCATCTCCTTGCCCCCCCCCCTCTCTCTCTCTCTCTCTCCCCCGCTCTCGTCCCTCCCTTCCCTGGACGGGCCTTCGGCCTTCGCCTCTGACTCCCCACCTGTGTCCATTCTCCCGCACAGAATGTGGCCCCCTCGGCCAAGCGCGCCCGCCGGAGCGCCCCCTTCGACACGGTCTTCGAGGGTACGCCCTTCCGCGTGGCCTCGGTCCGTGATGTGTCCCTCGGGGTGGACACCGCCGAGGCGGGCAACCAGTCGCGCCTGCCGCTGGACCATTCGGCCATGATGATCACCCTGCGCTTTGCCGAGCCGGCCGGCGCCGTGGTCACTCTCCGGGCCTCCGGCACCGAGCCCAAGCTCAAGTACTACTCGGAGATCTCCTCCTCGGCGTCCGTGGCGCCGGAGCAGGTGGACATCGAGCGGCGCACTCTCAAGGACACCCTCGACAACCTGGTGGACACCATCGTCGAGAAGATCCTCCAGCCCCAGCGCTACCAGCTCCGCCACCCGGCGCACTAGGCTCCCGGTCTTGGGCAGCCTCTCCCCACATGACCGGGCGGCCCATGCCCAGGGTGTCGGGACGAGTGCACTCGTGCGTGCTCGGCGGGCTGCCTGTCCTCCTTCTCTCCCTCCGCCGTCGTGCCGTGTGGTCCTCTCGCCCAGTGTCCGTGAACTCGTGTGTGTGTGTGTGTGTGTGTATGTGCAGTGTGTATGTATGTTTGCTCGCAGAGCCGGCTGGCCGCCCGTCTCACCGCATGCTCCGGCTCGGTCCCGACGTGCCTGCCGCCGTTCCTCATATCCCGACAT